TTTTTTCTTTCCCTTCTTCCCCCTCTCCAGTTCCCCTTCTCCTTTGAACATTTTAGGAAGAGCCTGTTTTGAACAACAAACTGAAACATAGAGAAATTTAAGATTTCACCAATTTACTGAGTTAAATTTTTTTATGCTGGGCCAAACAATCATTGTACCTATTTAGAACATCAACGTTCAACTTTGAACCTTCTCTTGTGTTTCTGTGTAGGTGCAGATTTTTGGTTTGCTTTTTTGTTTTCTTGTCCTTCTCTTTGGATCTTAGGTTTTCTTACTCTCAACCATCAACATAATCATCGCATACTGTGTAATTGCTGTGCATGATGATGTATACATTGGAGGAAGGAGTTAGTTTTCATGACTGGCAGACATAATGCTTTTAATTGGATTGCCTAGAAAATTTGACTTCAGGCACTTACAACTTCTTGAAATATTAGCAAATAAAATACAGTAATAATTATAGTAGTAGTAGTAGTAGTAATGGGGGTGTCCTGCATCTAATGTCCTCAGAAGCAAGAACACTTCACTGATTATCTGAAGAGGTGTAAACTTGAAATTCAAGGCACTACCTGGTAAGAGAAGAGTGAAGGGAAATCCAAGCTTGACTCTGGCTAATAAAATTGTATTTTTATTTCATTTTTGCCTCCTGCCTAAATGTGTGTGTCAATTAAGCTATGAAAAGATAAAGGTATATTTTCTACAGCTGAATTTGTTATTGACAGTATTAGTTGCAGCTTAAGTTACCCTATAACCTATATTCCCTTCTGATATAGGACTTTTCTGGATCCAGAGAGTAGGATGAATGGGGCTTTCTTTTTGGAGAATATGGCATTTTAAGACTTGGACTGAGGAACATACTCGGATTTGCCTCTGATCCCCATATGGTCATTGTGGGTCGGATATATCCCACTTTACCAACTTAGAATCACAGAACAAAATGTTACTAAACCTGATTGATTCCAATAAAATTCATATCATCACTTTTTCTGTTTTTTCTCTTTCTATCCCTAATGCACCTTAAGGCAGTTTTTTTATTGGCATTTCCCTAACTAAATATTATTATGTCTGCTTTAACATATCCGTGATGATTCTTATAAAGGGGGAGAAATTCAGTGTAGGAATATCTGTCAAATTGCCCTTTAGCTTGTAACCTGTCACATCATGTCAAAGAAACTTGCATGGCCCATGAGCCAGAATTTCAAAGTCAAAACACAACTCTGTAGCCAGTAATGTACTTTAACTATACAGAAAGTGAGCCCATTAAGGTTAAAACTGAAACCTTTCTTTTAATGAAATAAATGTGTATACATTCATACTGCACACTATACATTTACTTTAAGACATTTTTGAAAGAAAATAATAAAATCAATACAAATAATGTGAGTATTCAGTAACAAAATATTCAGGTTTCCCTGGAATCACATTGAATTGATTGGTTTGGGTCAATGAAAATACTGGCTCATGGTATACACAGCTTGTTCTCCTCCCATGATTATTGTCGGTATGCAGGAGGCAAAGGAGGATCAGAGAAGAAGATTACAAGGTTTTTCTGAATTATTCCAACTGGCTTCTGAAGCTCCTTCACCTTTTGAAGTTGTTTGTAACAACAACATGCTTCCTGGCTCTGGCGAGGCCAGCTTGTTCCTGCTTGCTCCTAGTAGCAGAGGTGTGAGTCGCTGAGAGCTATGACCCCCAGTCTCTCCCAGACATTTGCAGAGGATCCATGCACACTGGAGCCAGAGGAGAGGGAAGAATGCAGAGCCCCTCCTACCTTAAAGACTCACATGGAACTTGCCTGAGCAAAAAAATAAAACTAAAAATCAACATAATCTGGTTTACCTCTTAGATTCATTTCTAACAGTTTCTTTGTTTGAAGAGTAGGTAAGAACTCTTGTGCATATCTCGTATGTTCCAGAAATATATTTGCCTTTTTCCATTAGTAAATTTCTGTATCAATGGATAGAGGACATACCTCAGGCATTTGGGATTTTGTCATCACACCAACTTTTCTGAAGTTGGGTTTAAGGGTCACCTACTCTGAGGGAGCAGAATGTGCTGGGGGAGGGGATTATCTGATGCTTGTCATAGACAGTGGCCACTGAGGCAGCTTCACTCTCAGGACGGTAGCCTGGGAGCTGTAGACCTGGACTCTCTGCATCGATTCTATGTGAATAATAAACACAGCTAAACTTTGCTTAAATGAGATGGGAGCTGGAAGGTGATTAAACGGTCAGAAAGAAAAAAAAAATGTTACAGAATTTTTTTCATATATTGCAAGCTATTTATACTAATAATTTCTTTCCCACTCTCCTGCCTCTCACTCATCACCCATAACTGAATCTGCAGCTTCTCTGCTCCCTCAAAGCATAATATTGTGCAGTCCCCAGATGGGGTTTGGGGTGCTTCTGAGCCTGCTGGAACTTACTAAGGCGCACCTGGAAGAAGCAGCACGTTATACACTGGCAAGTCTGACAGTAGACTGATTTATGAGGCTGCTACTTTTTTGCTGAATTTATTTTCAAATAGGGCCTGTTATTTTAGCATGGGCCCTTCAATCATGGATATGCAAAGTCTACACAAAGACTCCCTAAAGTGCTCAGGGCTGTATGCAGGAAGTATTCTGGCACAGCAGTGTACGGTGATGTGTGTCTGCCAAAAAGGTTTGACTTCAGAGACGACTACTTTAGACAACATGTTGACTTGTGCGTAGGACAGAGAACAACAGATTTATTTGGATTATTTTGATCAGAAGAACAGAGATGATAAAGAAAACATGCAACCTGAGTTTTAACCTTTTCAAAAAGCTTATCTTTCTATATATAGTTAGAATTATGGCCAGATTGATAAATTTCTGTCCAGAAAATCCTTTCCATCCCAAATCAGTCTTTTTGATTTTCCAAATTCTTATACAGCAAAGTTAAACTTTTCCCTATTTTCTATTTTTTATTACATTAAAGTTATTTTGATAGGAATAAATAAGCTTTGTTTACAAGTTGTAATACAAAATATGTTTGCTCTATTATTTTATTACGTTACCAATTATAGCATTTGCATTTATATCATTTGTCTTCATTATGACCATTCACAATGGCCATTTTTATAACTCTAAATTCTCATCAAGATAATGTTTGTACAAATAACAAATAGCAGCAGCTACTGCTATTCTTATTACCAGTTCTATTCTTTATTTTTTTAATTTTATTTTTGCAAAAAACCCCATAATTTATAATTTGATAAAAGAATGATAGATTTTGAAAAAATTCTGAATGAAACTTTTCAGATATTACAGGATTTTTTTCTGAATTGAAGGGAGTGCACATGTTTTTAATATTAGTGAAAGAAGCTAGACACAGGATACATTGAATGGACAATAAATGTCCATTCTGTACATTTATATGAAATGTACAGAATGGACACAACCATAGAAATAGAAAATAGATCAGCAGTGGCCAGGGCCAAGGGAAATAAAGAGCGACTGCTTAGAATGTGTTTCTCTGCAGTAATAAAAAGTTTTGCAACTAGATAGTGAGATAGTTGCACAACATTCTCAATGTACTAAACTCAACAATTGTACACTTAGAAATGGCTAAAATGGTGAAATTTGTGTTTCATGAATCTCACCACAATTTAGATAAAAAGCAAAGGGAAAACAAAAGTTCTGAAGTTCAAAGTCAGTGGAAGCACAGTAAGTTGTTGGAAGAGTAAGATGTGTGAATTTACTATGGACACCACTGAAGTTTTCCATTCATACAACCAACTCTAACTCTGAATAGTAGAGAACTGAAAAGAAGCAGTTTAGGGTGCTCATCATCTTTCTTTAAAAAATTTAATACATTTTTTAAAAATTTAATATATTAATGTTCATTATAGAGATTGAACACAGAAAACATAAATCAGCTATGATTCCATTGCCTGGAAAGAATCTTTTCAGGTCTTTTTGTCCTAAATAAGGACAAATATTTTTACCCTAAAAAGAGACTAGATGTTGTTTTGCAGAATACCAATTTCATAATTTTACTAAGTGAATACCTATTGCAATATTATTTTTTACTAGATGCATGCAAGCTTTTATGTGCTTTAAATATGTTAACTAATTTAATTATCTCAACAACCCCATGAAATTGATGTGGTTATTCTGATTTTAAAGATGAGAAAACTAAGACAGGTGATATTCAGCCTTTCTAAGATCACCCAGCTAGTGAGTTGCAGAGCCAGGATTTACATCCATTATTCTGGCTCTGGGGTCTGTTCTCTACTTTTATGACCTCAGAGTTAACCAGATCAATACTACTGGATGCTTGGAATCTATTTATGTTTTGCTGCTAAAGACAAAATTCCACTGAACGTTTTTGAAGCCAAATACACACAAAAATAATGGTCATAATAAAAGTCCCTGTAATTGAAATTTTGGTTCAATTCATATTAGAATTTAAGGCATTTGATAGAACTAATAAATTTTTTAATAGAGAACTTTACCTTTGGGAAGGAGCACATGCACACACGGGGGAAAGATGAACTGTGAAGCACATACCACCTTATTTGATTGGATCATCTGATGATTAAAACGTAGATATTATCTGTCATATAAGTGGCAGAACCAACATTGGATTATTGCTTATTTTTTGTTTCTTGTTTTTTATACTCATAACATTTCCCTTGACTAAACTACTCCTCAAATAAAATCCCTGTATTAGTGTACTAATTCTGGAACATTCTGAATTCACAACCACCTTGTAATTTTTCACACCAAATTACAATCCAATATAAATGCACACACAAACTGATACTCATTTGTAAAGCTGTAAGTCAAAATAACAATCTCTCCCCAATGGTACATGTTAATGGTGTTGACAATTTGATAATGACCCATTCTCTAAAATATTCCCCACTAACAGAACAAAGACTCATGAGGATTTCTATTTTCATGCTAGCTTAAAGCACAATTGTGCAATATGATCATTTTAGGTCATTTAATCTCTAAGCACAAGAAAGACAAGAAACCAAGTTAACATTGTTTTATTATATTCTATATGTGCATTACTTTGCACACAAATTTTTTTGCTTATTTTAATCTTCAAAGAAACTTCTTCAATGGCAAATCAAAGCTCTGTGTAAAACACTGAAAAACAAATTCTACTACATTTTAGACACTTAACTCCTTCTTTATAAATGTAAGAAAAAAAACCTGTACATTTAGCTATAAAACCCCAAGACCATTCACGGGAATAAAAAATTGAAAGCTTTAAAAAGACATGTTCTTACACACTAAAATTACATAATTTTCACCTTATACATATGAGGAACAAACAATACTACATGTTAAAATTATTACTTGAAAATTAGAAGAATTTCAAAAGAAAATCACTTTTAAGTGTAGAAGTCTGAAAAAAATCCCTAGATTTTAGGAAAAAGGAAAAAACAGAAAATGTAGAATCCGGTCAGAATTTTACATACACATTTAATTGAAGACTTTCTTAGTGCCTGAAGGGCTACAGAAGGAGTGAAGCTTTCCTCATGAATGCTTTGTTTCGCTGTATGACCAGTTCAGGCCCATCCTGAGTGCCTTAGACTCTTCATGCAGCCAGCCCTTTCCCTGATTCCACATTCCAAATAAGGAGAGGCAGAGGGCAGGGGTTGGGTGGTGCTCCCCCAAATCCAGGGACATCTGCACTGCCTTAAGAAAGGAAGGCCAAGGAAGGGCCAGGCCTACAAAATATGAAGCAGGGGCAACATTGTCCTCGCCACCACCCACTTCCCTCATGGGCTTCTCTCCTTGCCCTTTAACACCTGAGTCTTCATGTCACTCCTTGACTGTCCCAATACCCCAGGTGAGCTTGCCCTCTTCCAAAATGATGATCTAATCTCTTAGGCTTGTCCTCTCCTCATGTTCTTTCATGCATTTTAAATTCCTATTACTTCTCTTAACTTTAAAATTCCACATAACAAGGCAAACTGACAAGAATTAATTCACATTGCAGGACTTTAGAACATCTGGCATATTTGGCACCTAAGTGAATCACTGCTGGGGTTCTTGTGACAATGCTGACAAGGAGATGAAAGGAGGAGGCCAACAAGACTGGCTTTCCAACAGGGCAGTGAGTAGAGAAAAGACCTGCAGTTGCCAGCTTCTGATTACAACACAATGTGAGCAGGGTCAATCTGTGGACTTCAGCCTAAGGACAGTCACTCCATACTCAAAAGTTTCAGTACAGTTCACCTCCCTGCCCCGTGTAGCCTGTATACTGACTGAGATGCCATGGTTATTTGGCTCTAAATTTTAAAAACATGTTATATATAGGAGAGAGAAAAAAAATGGAAATAGAGGATTTAATTTCAACAGATGTAAGTTTTTTTTTAAGTTTTTACTATTAGCTCCCAAGGAAAACACCTCATTTCTGGAACTTTGCCCTCAGGAAGCAAGGAGTCCTATCTGTAATGTGTATTCCCCCAGTTTGCTTCTAATTTGTGGACCTAAAAATCCTTAAATAGACTGCAAAGCAAATCTACTGCTTCATCTGGTTTCCTATTTCTTTCCCACTTACAACAGAAAAGTGTAAATTGTTTCCCAGGGACACAGACTACTTCCTGATGAGTTCAGTTATGATGCAGTACATGAGAACTAGGCACAGGAAGCTTTGTCTTTCCTAAACCCTGGATTTCTACTATAGGATAAACCACACCCAGGCTCATTTTAAATTATGCCATTTTCCTCTTTGTTTTCATTTCATTTCCAATGCTACTGATTAATAATTTTATACACTAGTAGAGTAATTTTACAATTATACAATAAGGTAACATATACATTCAATTCCAATACTGTTCCTATAGAAATTTTGCTTTCAAAGTCAAATGAAGAATTTGATAGTGGGGTTGGGTCTAGGGCTGGTATCAATTCTTCAGAACGGCAAAATTTTTTATTTACTTTAGTCTCAAATATTTTCTTTCCTAAAACTGTCTTCAAATAGTGGTACTTAATATTTTTTATCTGTTTTATAACTGGCACTTGAAGTGTGTGTATCATAGTGAGCTATTACCATGGCTAAGCTATTTTTGGACTGGTATTTACCCAACATATAAGAAAAATATCTGTAAAGGAGAGCAGATCCTTTTTGGACCCTAATTCTAGTACTATGGGATGGAATTTGCTACTTGTCTATTTTAATATTTTGACTTACTGTAAAAGATAAGCAAAAAAATTTAATACACAAATTGGCAAATGGCATGATTACAAATTTAGAAAAATTTATTCTGTATACAGATGCTCCTCTACTTATAATGGGGTTATGTCCCATGAAAACACTCATAAATTTAAAATGCTGATAAACTGAAAACAGACTTAATAAAATTAACCTACTGAACATCATAGCTTAGCCATATAGTACACTGTAGGGTATAAATTGTTTCCCCTCATGACCCCATGGCTGACTGGGAGATGTAGCTCCAGTAGCTTTGCAAGAGAATATTACACAGCACATCACTAGCCCAGGAAAAGACCCAAACTCAAGATTCAAATTAGTTTCTCCTGCATGTGTATCCTTTTCACACTACAGTAAAAACAAAGTGTCATTAGTCAACCCATCTTAAGTCAGGGACCATCTGTATACAAGGTGTAATTGAATTTCACAATATCAGTTTTGGAGGAAACCTCCAGAACGACTGGCAAGGACGTGTCTAACTGTAGCAGCTGTGACATTATCTCTTTGTGCATGTTTCTGCTAATGTAAGAAATTTGGGTTCCAAATTATTTAAAAAGTCAAGTCCATCTTCTTCCTGTTTTTCACTGCAGCAGCCTACAGAGCCGGCTGGAGACCCCCTTCCTTCATAGCTGTATGTGAGCACATAGTCTTGTGACGGCACCTGTTCTTCGTTCTGGTTACACACATGCAACTTCTGTAAAGTCATTTTACAAAAAGGATTGTATTATTGTTTTACACAACTTCAACATATGAACATAAAATTTATTTTTATTTACCTTTTATGTTTAATTTTAACCAGTGTGTCCTCTAATGGATTCCTATACACAGAAAATGCACATGATTGGTCTATATCACAACCATATCATAAAGTCACTCTATGTTAAACTTCTAACAATCTATACAAATAAAATCTTATGTATGCAAATGATATGTGTTTAAGTTATGAAATATTTGTCTTTCAATTTTATAGCCAGAAGTTGAGCTGTTTCACTGCACAGCAGTTGATATTTGAGCTTGGGTGTCAAACTGCCCTAGTTTTGAGCCAAAGTTCTGGCTCTAGCAACTGGATCTATGAATCTGGGCAAGTTACTAAGGATCTTTACGTCTCATTCTCCTCAAATCTAAACTGAGAATACCAACAGTAACCATCTCACAGTGTTATTTTACTTTAGAAATTAAGGATGAAACAATAATGCATGAAAAATAACTAAAACCATTATTATATGCAATTATAAGGTGGGTAATAATCACTGTATTGGCTTCAGAATTGAGTTTACAAGACAGCCGAAACAAGGAAAAATAGATACATGCATGAAAAAATGAATCATTGAAAGTAAAAAGTATTCAAAATAACCCACGTTGCAAAAACTGAGTTTCTGTAATGAAGAGCCCAGCATTCAGTATATCTACCTTCTTCGCTATCTGTCACTATCATATCTGCCAACTTGTCAGGCTTCTGTGTCTCCTCCTTTTCCTCCTTTGTGTGCCCATTCCTCCAAGCCAGGACTCAGTTCACTAATGTTATCAATAGTCTTTCCTCATCTCATCACTAGGCCCTTGCCAGACACCACTCCCAGTGAAGAATACTAATAATGTGTCTTAAGCTTTACTCCTTTGCAGCCTGACCTTACACGAATGCTGTCTAAAAACAGAAAAAGGATTAACACTTGAAGGTGACCAAAGAAAATGCTATGGACCTGCTATATAATAATCTATAGCCCTATCACAGAATACTGCCCGTTGGCCATCCATCCAAGGATTAAGGTTTTCTGGCCCAGTATTTGCTACAATCTCTGCTAAAGAAGTGAAAACTTTACCAGCAAGAATATTCAGTCAGGTAACTTTTTATCCTAACTACACATTTGAATCACCTGAGAATTTTTAGAAAAAAACCAAAATCAATTAATTAAATTATTTCAAGGTGAAGCCCAGACATAAGCGTTTTTGAGAATCTTCCTAAGGAATTTTGGTATGGACCTAGAATCCCTTATTTAATTCTTCATTTCTTTCATATTCTTGCTTTCCTCTAGATAAAACTTTACATTTGCATGGTGCTTTCAATGTTAAAAATATTTTATGTAATGATGACTTTAAATAGTAGTTTTTGTATATTCCAAAATTTCTGAGTAAATTTCAAATGTTCCACCCTTAAAGTTTTGAAGATGAGTTAATAATTCTACTTTATACCCGTATACTATAACATCACTAATTATTCCTCATGTGAGTAAATATACACAATTATAATTTGTCAATTTGAATAAACAAACCAACAAAAAATAAATATTTCACATAAATCATGTTAATCTTTATCCTAAAATTGCACAGAGATGTTTTTATTTTCACAGGGAAAAACAGATTTGATTTGAGAAATTTATGATAGGAATAAACTAGTTTTTTTTTTACATTTTTCTATATAGAAAGACTTCATGAGGTAAATGCACACCTAAAAATAAAACTACAATGATGGATATTGGAAACCTGTAATTTTACAGGGCTCTAGACACTAAAGAAATATGACAAAGGACATTAAATTATTTTAACTTAAATAATGTATAAAATAAAATAACAAAAAATAGCAGGAAAAAAATGTAACAATATAGGAAAATAGCCTCTGAAATTATACATTAATTTCAATTTCCTTTTACTCTTCAGTAGAGTTAAAACATCTAGAGAAACTCACTTCACCGAGTCGGGGCTGGGTGAAATTGTGCCACTCGGAGTAGGTGTAGCGACAGTTGTCCATCTCCACGTGTCCTCCCCTGCAGGGGTCCACGGTGTGGTGGTGCCCAGCACCCCGGCAGGAGTCCAAGGTCTGCTGTCCTCCCTTCACCAGTTCTATGGTCTCTTGCCCACCATTTCTGATTCCCGATCCCATTGTGCCACAAAAGCGTTGGCTACAGTTGTTGGCAGTCTGGGTTGTGAATCCATTGGCAGAACACTGCAACACAATACAACAACAAACTATTCATGTGGGGAGGAAATGGATTTCAGGTAAAGCCCCAAGAAGGCAAGAAAGAGAGATCATTTATTCAACCTTTCACTCATTCCCTCATTCATTCAACAGACAATATTCAGCTTGTAATTACGTATCCAGATGCGAATCCACAGGGATGCAAAGATGGCTCTAAGAAGCTCTCATTCCAGGGAAGCAGGGAAACAGGATTCTTTTACAAATGTAATTGTTCTTCTATGCGGGTGAACACCGAATGCTAGAGGAGCACAGTGGTAGAGCAGTAAAATTCAAACCCAGCAAGGACGAGTGGAGTGGACTGGAAAGCTCTGAGCTGAGGGACCGAAAAGCAGTCGGAGTGCATGCAGGAGGGTCGGTGTGCAAAGGGTTGTGTCAAGACTCCTGGATTTCACTGAGTTGAGAATGGTACTACACAGAGCTGCGTACAGAGGGGGAGAGAGAGAAGGAAAAGAGAGGGCGAGGGAGGGAGGAGGGAGGGTAAAGGGAAGAAAGAGAAAAGTGAAAAGGAGAGAAAGGAAGAGAAAGCTGGAGAGGTTATAGTTGGTGAGAGGACAAAATATATACATATTCTTTACATGTATGTATTTTATACACATATTGTACATATATACACATGTACATATATTTTATACATATATTTTAGATGTATATATTTTATCCTAAAGGTTATGGATATTCAATGACTTTTAACTTATGGAGAGAACCATATTCTTCAAAAATCTCATTCTAGGCCCTAATGTGGAAAATAAACTAAATGGAAACAAATTAATATAATAGAGATCAGATGGGATCATTGAATTGTTCTGGTGAATAATGAGCCTGGCTAGAAGCAACAGGGACTGAAAGTGAGTGGACTCCATGGAGAGTGTACTGGTAGCAAAGTGAAGAATCGAGATTATCCCTCTGTGTTCTACTTGCACAGCTAGATAAATAGCACAATTTAGTAAAATAAGAAAGGAAAATGTGCTTTTGGGCAAGACGAGGATGAGCAATTTAACTTTGGAGTGAGGGACTTGAGACACATGTGTGACATCCTAGCTGAGTATATGCACCTGGAGCTCAGGTGAGAGATCAGAGCTGGAGGCACAATCGGGCATCACTAACAAATAGGTGGTGGTTAAAGCCCCAGGAATAGATGAGCTATCCAGAGAAAATTGCAGGCCAAAAGAAAAAAGAGCTAAGGATAGAAAAAGATTGATGTTTTAAGGGATAGATAAAAGAAATACAACGGTGACAAGACTGATCAGGAGCAGTCACTGAGATAACAGCAGGAATTAAGAGGCCATGCACAGAAGACTGGCAGACAGAGTGGCCTATGGAGGGGAAAGAAGAATCAGAGTACGGTAAGAACTGGTTCAAATATAGTAAGTGCCCATTGAATTCCAGTAAAAAGCATTCTCTGCTGATCTTGTCAAAGGCAATTTCCAAGATGTGGTGAGTGAACAGGAAATAATGTTACAGAAAAATCAAGTATAGACTTTCCTTCCCAAATGTTCAGTTTTAAAGAAAAAGAAATGCACAGAGGGAACTAGAGGGGGAGAGAGTCAAGGAAATCCTTTAAAACGAGAAGGGGTTAGTTCAACCTTAACTCAACACCGGAAGTTCACTCCAACCCTCCAGGCTATAGGTAAAAGTTTAGTTATAGCCATAACCTCAGTAGGCCTGTTCTAAGAATAAACTCCTGCACTACTTCATCACAAGAACCTCCCTTATAATCAGAAGTCCGTTCTGCTGTCTTTTCATCAATTTAATTTTTCTCCTACTGAAGAGTTAGAAGAGTTTTGAACTGGAAGATTTTCAAGTTCAGATGATTTACCAATTCCCAAATCTATCTGCAAAGTCACACATACTAGTTCATTACTTAAGGGAAAAAAAAAAATCAGAAAAAAAAAAAAAAAACTGAAAAGTAGCCATTTGGTGGCAGTGCTACCCTATATTTACTTAGGTTGCTGGTCCAATAAAATTCTACTACAAAAAAAAAAATCACATTCTTGATTATTGAATCTCCTTGATGGCATTATTTTATCATCATACGTATACATTCAGAGATGTATTTCTAAACTAATAAAAAGGGAACTAAAAGTAAACTAAAATTGATGATTCTGAGCCCACCATGTTAGCTGCATTCCCCAGATTTTCACAGGGTATCAACTACGTCCTAACCAGGTCAGCAGTTTCCCAGATGTGGTTTTCCAGGCCTAATTTTTTACCCAACTCCCAATCTCATTTGAATGCCTTCAACTAAACTCTGATCAAAAATGATAATCATCACCTTTCCTCCTTGTACTTAAGTAACTTTACATATTCGCTGTGAATTTTGTCATAGTTTAGGGGCTGGGGATTTAGCTCAGTGGCACTGCACCTGCCTTGAAAGCACAAGGTCCTGAGTTCGATCCCCGGTACACACACACAAAAAAGTAGGTTAGGCAGAACTTTGTCACAGTTTGTAAAAATTTACCTAAAGGTATTTTCTGGTATAAATTAATATTTCCAAGCCCCTTTTGAAGCATTTATAGCACAAAACAAGTAAATACGCTGAAGTGACCAATAAACAGCCCCGGCTCTAGCTTCAAATGGCAAAGAACAAATATTACGTAAAGATCATTAACTTCATTTTCAGATATAAAGTAAGAACTTCATGTTGGTTAAGGGATGTCAAGGGACTAACTGATTTTCTGATTATAGAGATAATCATAGCATTCCACATGATGACATAACAAGCACAGGTGGCTATCATTTTGGGTGAGGGTAGGAAAGAGTCAGAAGAGATAAACAGTGAATGATAAAATCATCTTCACTTTGAGATAAGCAAAAGGACAGATGAGTCATCCTTGCCCCTGGTCACAGCTACTTTGACCATACTTTTTCCTTCATTCCTCAAATTCTGTCCACAACCTTGTCATTTATACCTTTTAAAATATTTATTATTCATCCCTGTTTTTATATTCCACTTACCATCATGAAGGGTTATCTCATGCTGAAGCTACTGGAAGATGCTAGGGCTTTGCCTTCCCCATTCCTAATCCCCTCCTATTCTCACTGACCCTCTTCTGGCTAAGCATCATGTGAGAAGCTGGCACGATGCCACATGGAGAACCATCACTGACCCTCCTGTGCCCAGGGAGTATATCCTAGGCCCTCCTGATTTGGGTATGAGGGGGTCTTCTCCCCCATTCTCTCATATATCCTCTCTCCCAACACCTGACTTATGTTCAAAGCCTCTACTCGATCCAATGTCTTCCATTCCAAAGCAACTTACTCACTATTTGCTGAATGGTCCCTAAACTTTGTCATCATCTCTTTTTTTCTTTAGGCTGCTTTCCTCCACTTTAGCTATTGTCACCAACTCTTCACTTTCAGACCCTTCTCATTTTGTAAGTTATACAGGAACTTATAGACCTCTCTCTTTTTCTTACAGAATTAGCTGTAAGTCTTCCCAGGTGATCCAAACCTTGTGAGTATGCTTTTATTTTATAAATATCTTTAAACTTTGATAGTGCATATTATATGGGTTTACTGTCATATTACTATTTATCTTTTCCACAAAAATAAATTCTATTTCCCATAAAGAAATTGAAATATTTTTGAAGAGAGACATGCCTTGTATTTTCCCCACAAACAACAAGCATAGAGCCATAAGCAAAGAGAGTGGCAGTAATCTTCCAAACTCTCACCCTTTTGTTACATACATATTTTTGCTATTTTTGTAGTTGTCTTGAAAGCTTTGTTTTCCCTATTACAAATGGCCAAAGAGTTAGATAAACAAATAATATCTGGAAACATACATTGTAGAGAGCAGCCAAAAATTATTATTACAATAAACTTGCAAGGTGAAAAACAAGTTTTAAGTCATAATTTTAAAGAGTGGAAAAACTATAATTAAAACTAGCCATTTGGTTTAAGTAGCTTAATAAAAGCTGCTTTTAAAAAAATCTAAATATTGGCATGTCAAGTATTTATGCTTACAAAATGTGACCTAACCAAACTATAAATTAATCCAGAATTTTTAAATAACTTCAGAAGCATGCGTTTTAAAAAGTCATAGGCAATAGAAATAGTTACCAAAAAAAGTTACTTACCACTCTGTCATCTCCAGGTGCTTCTGTATTTGATATAATTAAGTTTTGCTGTGCTAAATCTTCAGGAAATTTTTTTCCTTTTCTGGCACTAACAACTCCACATACTAAAGTTAGCAGGACAGCTGAGTTTAGGGGAAAAAAAACTTATGTTAGCATGCACAGAATAAAATAATTGTCCTTTATTTCTTATATCCTAAGGACTACAGGAGAAAAAGCTACTAAGCTACTAAGCATGGTTTCCCACGAATTATCTTGGCCTTTCTAAATTAGCAGGATATAGTTTAGCTTAGATTTTAAAATCTGAAGTGATTATATGTGTATTTTTATAATTTAGCTTTTTGTTTAAGGAGTTGAATTCTGCCCATATTGTTAAAATATTTAGAATCAGAATTAATTACTACATCTAATAAATCACTGACATTTATTTAAGACAAAGATGTTAAAAGAGATTTACTGAGTTCCTAAAGGATAGTTTGCCTATAAGAAAACATGACATAACAAATTCTTTTCTCAGATAGAGTTATCTTCAAGAATGTTGATTAAATCTAGTTTGTCTCTTGTCCATCGAGAATTTTCATTCTATATCATAATTATGGTAAGTTAAAATATATCATAATAAAACCAACAATAATAGCAACAATTCTTTACAATGTTCTACAAGACACTATAAAGGATGAGCAAACCATGGTCCTAAATCCAGCCCACCATGTTTTTATATGGCCCATGAGCTAACACTTTATATTTCCAAATGGTTGGAGAAAATCAAAAGAAGAATAGTAATAGTTAACGACATGAAATTCAAATTGTAGCATCCATATTTAAAGTTCTACTGGAACATAGCTCTGCCTCTCATGTTCCCATTTTCTATGGCTGCTTTCTTGTTGCAAGGGCCTGTTTGACTGGTTACAGCAGAAACCACATGGTCTGGAAAGCGTAAAATAGTCATTGTGTGGTGCTTTACAGAAAACGTGTGCTAACCATCACCTACTCAATGTGCTACCTTCCTGGCTCTGTTTCTCAGTCCACTTCCCCTCACCCACTGCTGTCTAGCTGCACTAGTCTTCCTGTTAGTCCTTGGTTTCTTCACACATGATCCCACCTGAGGACCTCTGCACTGACTTCTCCCTCCAACTGATTACCCCCCAGGTAATCCACAAGGTAGACTCTCTAACCTGTCCCAAAACTCATAGCAGACAGTTTCTTCATTTAGCCCTAATTTAGTCATCTACTGAAAACTGCAAACAGTAGCACCAATATCCTCGCACACACATACACACTCCATAGCACCCAAAACTTATTTTACTCTATTTTTTCATCAAAGAATTTATTCACTTAGTCTCAAAAGGCATACTTGCTTTGGTTTTATCATTTTTCTTCTATGATAAATTCTAAGCACCTAGAACAGTTTCTGCCAATTAGTAAATGTTTAATATATATTTATTTGTTGCGATGATTAAAAATAATGGACACTTACTAGAAATTTACCATGAACTCATCTATGTACTTCACACACATTGACTCAGTCCTGAGTGCTACATCATAAAGCAGGCACCACAACTGTCCCCTTTACAGATGAAGCTCAGTTAAGTAACTTGCCCCAGTCCTATGGCTTGTGATAAAGGTGGAATCCAGACCCAGGCAGTCTGGTTCCAGAGTCTTGCTCTTAGTGGTTCCAGAGTCTTGCTCTTAGTCACTACTCCTATCACAGAACAAAGCCAATCTGGGCTAGAGGGCTGGGGAGGGGGGAGGGGGGCACATGGTCCCCCTGGGAACCATACAAATGGCAAGGAGGAGATTAATAATTCAGAATGAGCAATATATACCCAAGATAGGACAATGCTGTGATCTGAACATTTCCCACAAATCTGTTGCTGAAAAAGTGAGAAGATATGAAATAAAACTTGCTTTTAATGGACCCTGATAGAGTCTTAGATTGCTCTATTTTGCTCTAAAAGTAGTAGCACTAAGATCAAAAAATAAAAGCTACATACTGGGAGATTCAGTGCAATCTAAGGAATTTTCAGTAATTCTACTCAGATATAAAACTTCTATCTCAAGAAGGATCATGTTCCCTAGCACAGAAAACATCCAAACATATTTCAGATACCAGAGGAACTCGTAAAGGAAATTCACCCCTGGTGAATGCTTGAACAAGATCATTTCCTGACTCAACTCTTTTATTTTGCATCTTAACTCCAAGTAAGCGGAAGTACTTACAGAGCAGCAGTGCTATGCCCAGTAGTATGGCGAGGATGGCCCACTTTCCCAGCACCACTCCTGAGCTCCTTGCCTTTGAGATGCACTGACTCGGGAAATTGCAATCACACAGGTTGACTCTCAATGTTTTGGTTGCAGATTGGCCTCCTCTATCTTTCACAGTAATAGGAATTGTATATTCTTGAAGTTGAGCGTTTTTGTGATATGACAGACGGGCAGCTGTATCTGTAAGAAAATAAAATAATTTTATTTCTAAAAGATTATTTAGTCTTCCTCTGGCATCTATTTCACCATGCTTGTCTCTAAAAGTTTTAGTCTCAAGGAATTGCCTGCTACATGAAAATAAATACAAATGGAGGGCTATCTTCAACCCTTTCAATCACTCATATTATGTTATATATGTTGATCTTTATAACCCTAGAAAAGAGCCTTAAAGAAATAATTCAGCATTGGATTGATCCAGCAGCATTCCAGCAATTATTTACTGTTCCTTTTCCTATAGAAACTGATAAAGCTAGATTGGTAACATACTCCAGGAGCTTTCTTCAGTACCAGTTCATACACATATAAAGAGTTAATATCTATAGGTACACACAAAGGATGACTTTAATTCCAAGTCTCTTATCCATTTACCTTCTGCTATCTGTCCATTATCCTTATGGATAAAGAAATTTTTCAAAGCACACAATAGATCTTTATGATTAAAGCCCCCCATCTGGAAGTAATCTCAACATCAGAAAGCTAATTATATCACTCAGGCTACTTGTAAAGCTTACAAAAAAAAAAAAAACCTGGATATTCTGACATCATAACAATTTGTTTTTATCAACTGTGATAGTTAACTTTCCCCAATAGTCTTGCTACTTTATTTTAATGATGTTATTCTCAGATAACCAAAAGCTCCACAGACTTTCAATGGCAATTACAACCTCCTTGACTTTTTATAATAGGCTGAATAAAATGACAAAGAAGCATCATGCACATACTGGAAGTCATGTGGAATTTCTAATCCTTGATTAAATGCACTGTTAAGCTGAAAAAACTTAAACAATTTTTGCTGTACTTCATACCTGAAAGCCCCACAAAGGAGCGTGAATGACTGCTTGGGTTCATTTGGGACCCTTCAGGACCATAAATGTTTAAGGTAACATTTTAAGTGCCTTTTCTCCTTCAAGACCACCCACTGAGCCACAGTTGCCTAATTTATTCATAATAGTGCACCGGCCTCTCATTTTCCTTACCACTCAGCAGTGCCCTCTTCAAATTTTCTGCTGAAACCAATGTTAAATTTACAGGACATAAATCCACATATAGCATGGCCTCCCTTGCGCATTCTCAATTCATGAATTCATGCCTGCTGTCACCTACAGTGCACATGTCGGTCTCCTCGGCCTGGAGGTTCTTTACCCTGAGACTTCACACTTCCTCCCACCCAAACCCTCAATATTCCTACAGAAACTTTCTAAGTTCTAATCATACCAATTTACTTATTTCTCTGGTATATCTCTTCTTTATGTATCTCTCTTAAGCAAATATTAATTAAACACCTTTTAAGCAGTATCTACTAGGCACCAGGCTAGGTACTGGAAATAGACAGAAGGATTACAAATGTTCTGAGAAACTCGTGTGTTGGAGGAGAGAAGTACACAGGTGGTAATGCAAGATGAAGGGTGCTATGATATAGGTATCAAAAGGTCACTGTCACTCCTTGTACTGCAAGAAAACTTGACAGAGGTTGAGCAGCTGAGCTAGGGCTGTGTCTGTCTTATCCATCTCTCTCTGTACATCCTCGGGGTCTGGAATGATGTCTGATAGATGGTGGGTGCTCCATAAAGACTGAATTAATATCAAAATCAAATGAGAAAAGAGGTATTCTAGGAAGAAGGGGCAGCATGCACAAAAGTCCAGTTGCATGAAGAGTACAAACAGTAATAAAACCAAAGAGTGAGAAAAAATGTAGAATATTACATTCTCTTAAAACTGCTGTCAGAGGAGACTACCCTGGAAAGCTCCAATGCTACCCCTCTTTCCCCCATGTCCTGCCACGTCCTCATCCAGGACAATAGATCATGTTTTCTTCATATACCCAGATTCTTCCCTTAGAGAGCCTGCTTGCAATACATTTAAATGACACACCCACTCCCTCTATACTTTACTGTTATTGTCATTACTTTTTTTAAAAGACAAAAAAGTTTATCTTAATAAGTTGCCCAATGTTTAACAAAGATTTGTGTCTTTGTTGTAAATGTAAATTTTTTGTGAAGAAAAGTTATGACTTCTTTCATTTTATTTATAAAGTCAATGCAGTCACCATATGATGTAAAAGATTAACCTTCTAAAACTCAATTTTGCATTATACTTTTTGTACATAAACAAGTAAATCTATTCTCTAGTTTTTCTGTTAATTCGGAGCATGTAAGTCATTTTTTATTGAATACCGTTAACTCTGTTGAGGGTCCATATTTTATTGACTTCTGGAGAGGGGCTTGCCAAGCTGAAATGAAATGGCGCTCCGTGGGCAGGTTCATCGGGGTCAAGAGCTGAAATGTCAGTGTACGTCATCTTTTGTTTGCAAATGACGACATAATCCTGAAGTATATCTGGCGCGTTATCATTCACATCTTCAATATTTACTGCAAGGGTTCCAGTACATGATCTACCATCTAAGAGAAGAAAAGAACAGGTTTAGTACTGCTTTCAAATTTTTTCTTTATAGTTTCTTAAGAGAAAAACAATTAAAATCTGATGATATGTGAGTTTTCTTAAAAATAAACTTTGTTTTGGAGAAAAGTGAGCAAGAATATGGATGGATAAGATCTCCAGGTAATCAAAAATGATTACTGCTGTTGATAT